GGGGGGGGGGGGGGGGGGGGGGGGGGGGGGGGGGCGGGGGGGGGGGGGGGTGGGTTCTTGTGCCCCCGGGGGTGGGGTGGGTGTTCTGCCGCCCGGAGGGACCCTCCTGCCCGGCGGGCACCGGGCGATGCGGCAGCGCCCGCGCCGCGCCCCGGGCTCCCCCCGGCACCGGGCGGGTCCCGTCCGCGCCGCGCCCCGGGACCGGGAGTGGAGCGCGGGCGCCGCCCGGTGGCAGCCCCATCCACCCCCTCCCATCGTGGATATCCCCCCGGTGCGACCCTTCTTCGCCCGGGCTCGGCGCACCCCGTTTTCCTCGGCTGGATTTCCCCCCCCGCCCCCACCGGGACCCCCTTTTTCGCCGGTTGGGTGCCTCGCTCTGTGGCCGGTGTTTCCCGTTTCCACCGGCTGAAAGCCCCCCCTTTTCCTCGGCTGTCCCCGTTTCCACCGTGCGGAAGCCCCCATTTTCCTCGACTGGGCGCCCCTCGGTGCCCAGTGCGCCCCTTTTCCCCGGCTGGGAGCCCCCTCTGTGCCCGGTGTTTCCCGTTTCCACCGGCTGAAAACCCCCCTTTTTCCCGGCTGGATGCCCCCCCGGTGCCAGGTGTATCCCTTTTTCCCGGCTGGGTGCTCCCCAGTGCCCAGTGAGCCCCTTTTCCCCCATAGGGGTGCCCCCCGCCCCATCCCCGATACACCCCTTTTTCCCGGATGGAAGCCCCCGGTGTTCCCGTTTCCACTGGCAGGAAAAACCCCCTTTTCCCCATCTGGATTCCCCCCTACCACCCCCTTCCGTTTCGCCCGCTGGGAGCCCCCCCTTTTTGGGTTGGGGGGCTTGGGGGTCGGGGTTCGGGGTCGCGGTTTGAGGTCGGGGTTTGGGGTCTAACGCGGAGCTGCTCCATCCCCCCCCCGCAGGAGAACGGCCACGTGATCTACAACGGGGACATGACGCCCAAGGTGGGGGTCGAGGTGTCCCCCCAGAACGGGAACGGCTCGGCTGAACCCCCCAAGGAGGAGAGCGAGGGCGAGCCGGGCGGGGGGGACGCCATCGAGCCCGCCCCCCCCGCCGACGGGGGGGACCCCAAACCCGAAGAAGGGGCCGCGGCCCCCAAGGACGCCCCCAAGAAGAAGAAGAAGTTCTCGTTCAAGAAATCCTTCAAGCTGAGCGGGATCTCCTTTCGGAAGAACAAGAAGGAAGCCGGGGACTCCTCTGGCTCCTCTCCCACGGAGGAGCAGCAGGGCAAGGGCGAGGAGAGCCCCGCGGGGGGGGTGCAGCCCTCGGCTCCCCCCGAGGAGGGGTCGGCGGAGGAGCAGGGGGGCCCCGGGGAGGGCAGCGAGGGAGCTGAGCCCAAGGGGCAGGAGGGGGAAGCCGGCGGGAGCAAGGAGAAGAAGGAGGAGGAGGAGGAGAAAGAGAAGCAGCAGCAGCAGCAGCCGGCGGGGGAGAGCCAAGGAGACACAGCCAAACCCGAGGAGCCCTCGAAAGCCGCGGGGGCCGAGCCCACAACAAGCCCCGCGGCGGCGGTGGAGCAGAAGGAAGAGTAGATTCCACTTGGCATCGTCCTCACTGGAGACTCTCACGCCGTCCTCTCCATCCTGGAACACCACGGACTCGCCCACACCCCCCCCAGCCCACCTAGAACTGACACCACTCCCCAGACCCCACACGCCCCCCTCGAGGTATCTCTTCCTTTTTCCCCCCCTCCCCTCCTTTTTCCCCCCGGTAGAAAAAGCTGGTTTGGATTCCCACACCACTGCCACCACTTGGAGTAGTTTTACCTGAATCCTTTAAAAAAAAAAAAAAAAAAAAAATCAGGAAAAAAAAAAAGAAACCAAACCACAAAACAAACAAAAAAAAAAAAGCTGTACGGGGCTTTCTTGTAACATTTGAAAGGAATAAATGGTGACCCCTTTATGGGAGAGCTCGAGTCCTTCTTGTCCTGGATGCCAGGGAAGGGCCAAGGGAAGATGGCAGTTGCTTATTTAGTTCAACAGCTGCTGCATTTAATCACTGCTCACACTTAATTGACTTGCAGCAGATGTAGAGCCACAGCCACAAAGGACTTTCCCACACCAGCCCTGTCCCTACCCCGGGATTGCTGCTCAACTGGCTGCTGGGGACCTGTTTTTGTAGAGATCCAACCCGATTTTTCCTGGTGTGGTGGGGTGGTGGGGTTGAAAAATCCGGTGTTTTTCTCACAATGAGGGTTACTGGGTGAAATTCCCATTTTTGAGCCTGGTTTCTCTGGTTTAAATTGGTGGGGTTTTTATTTTTTTTTTTTAGTGGCTTTAGAGCAGGATTAGCTCCTCTCTGCTGAAAAGAGCACAAAAGGCGAGCGCTGGGAGCAAAGATTTCCTTAACAAAGGGAAATCCAAGGGCACAATGGTGCCTCTATCCCTTCTGTCACCTGCACAGGGGTTGAGGTGGCTTTTCCCGAGGAAAGGTGGCTTTTTTCCCAAGGAAGGAAGGAAGGAGCACAGCCCGGGGGAGCTGCTCCCGCCAGCCCCTCCATTTCATGGCCTGCTCCCAATTCCCATCCCAGCTCCCAATTCCCACCTGCTCCTGCTGTTTTGGCTGGCAAAGAAGATGGAGAAGAGCAAAAAAACCCCCATTGTTTGCCCAACAGGCACCACCCTGGGAAGGGGTGAGGACCATCCAGGCTCCTCCCAAGCCTCGAGGTAGGTGGAAATGCCCCAAAACTCCTTGGTTTTTTGTGCAGCACATCCCTCTGGGAAGCAAGAACAAGGGACCTGCTTCCCAAGGGAGCAGGGGAGTCATCCCTAGTCATGGAGGGGGGGGTGGTGGTGGAAACAAATGGGGTGTTTTGCCCCATTTTGACCCGGAGCTGTCCTTGCTGAGCCTGCCCGGGGTCTGTCACATCCCGGTGCATCCGCCCGAGCTGCATCGTGGCAGCCATTTTAGGAATCCCTGGAAAACAGAGGGACTGCGGATGCACTCGGCACCGGGGGGGGACAGGGCTGGAGGGTGGCTTTTGTTCCAGGAGGGGAGGATTTGCTCCTGTGCTCCGGTGAAAGGGATAACGGGGTGTTCCCCCCCGAGGCAAGGGGGGGGATGTTTGGGAAGTCAACTGTGCCCACACAAAGCTGCTTTTTTATTTATTTAATTTTTTTTTTAGCTTTAAAAAACCAGCAGAGTTGGCTCCTGTGGCCATTTCAGGTGTGATCAGCTGCACAATTAACCTGCTCCTAATTAAATTAGAGAATTTTTGTTCGCTCCGACGCAAGGTAAAACCACTTAAGCTCATCCAAATGGTGAATTAAGCTCATGCAAATGGTGAATTAAGCTCATGCAAATGGTGAATTAAGCTCATGCAAATGGTGAATTAAGTTCGGCCCTTCCCA